TTCAGGATTTTCTGAAGAAGGGTCTAGGCCCGAAACGTCAGCTTTCCTGCTCCTCTGATGCTGCTTGGCCTGCTGTGTTCATCCAGCTCTACATCTTGTTATCTTAAATAAATCAGAGGAATGCTTTGAGGGACTTGATATAAGTAAATAGTAAAAGAGGAAACTATATTGGTAAACGATGATGGTGAACAATGGGAAACATTTTGAAAGTGCTATTCAACTGAGTGCAGGAACATATCCAAGCATTATGCCTTTTAATAAATTTTTAAAAATTATTGCGGACAATATTTACTTGGTGCATTCCTTGTGGCAATGCCTCAGCAAATCAGAGCTAATTTGCCAAATTAAAACCACCTTTCACACTTGTAGTATAAATTGTGCTAAATTAAATATAACTTATAAATATTCTGTTCTGAAGAAAGGTCATTGAACTCAAAATGTTATGTCTGCTCTCTGTCCACAGATGCTTCCAGACCTACTGAGTTTTTACAATAAATTTCTGTGTTTGCATCTAGAATTCATAGTCCAGTTTGGTGACACTTAAAAGGAACCTGGATCTGCATTTAAAGCTCTGTAACCTCCAAGGTTACGAACCAGATGTTGATAAATTGGATTAGAATGGGCGGAGGGGGATGGCGGCAGCTACTTAAATACCTGTTCCCTTCATTGAACAGTCAATAACAAGGGGCCATAATTTTCATGTGAAAGGCAGAAGGTTTACAGGGGATTTGAGGAAAAACATTTTCACCCAGAGGGTGGTGGGGGTCTGGAATACACTGCCTGGGCGAGTATTTAAAGCAGGTAACCTCACAACCTTTAAAAAGTACATGATGAGCACGTAAAATATCATGGCATTCAAGGCTATGGGCCTAGTGAAGGCAAATGGTACTTGAGTAGACAGTAGTGTATTTTTGGTGGCACAAACTCAACGAGCAGAAGGGCCTCTATGACTCTATGCAGGGCTGAATGGCATATTTGTGCTGTAACTTTTCTACAATTCTATGGTTAAGTATGTAAAGACACTACTTGTGAAACTAAACAACAGTCAAATGTGTCGGAATCCTGGTCAGTTAGTTCAATGGAAGTGGCATTTCCAAAAGTCTGACAGTAAGCAACAGTGCTCCTATACCAAAGGGAACAATCACTTCGCCTCATGATCACAAACCAGAGAGGCCTGCTGAAAAGAATTCATGTATGGATATGAGATTAACATTACTTGGAGTTGTGGATATAGGTCAGCAAGTGAACTATTTCTTCTAAAAGACAAGTTGCTATGTAAAACTAAAAGCAAAAAAGTACTATCCCTTGCCTTTTATTAGTTTAAATACATAGCTACCTATTCCAGGATAACTAATTTAAGCAGGAAAAAGCAGGAATTTTTCTCCATACTTCTAATGGTTTGCCACACTTCTCTAAACATTTGCTTCTGCAGGGTTTAAGTCAATTCCAAACCACTATACAAATATATTGAGCTGTATCACTCAAATATCATTTTCTCTGCCTCACCTCTATTCGGTCAAAGTTATCCAATAGTTGGAAGAATGTGGCTAACTGTTCCAAGGGGAAACTTTTACTCTGCATCAGGGAACAAGACTGTTCTGTTAAATGTGGAGCACTGCTGACAACTGGAATCAATTCACGATGCATCTTCTTTTTCTGAAATAAAGAAATACAATGCTAAAACTAATTGACAATCATCTGTTAAGAATTATCTTAGTAATTGCTTTCAGTTCCGTAAAAAAATTTCACAAACTTATTCTGGGAGGGCTGGTGGCAGCTACTTAAGTATCTGTTCCCTTTGTTGAACAGTCAATAAATACCAAGGGACCATAATTTTCATGTGAAAGGCAGAAAAAGATTTCACAAACTCATTCTGGCTTATTCTTTGAGGTGGGGCGGGGGGGGGGGGGGGGGGGGGGGGGACGAAAAAAAAAAAAAGAGAGAGGCTCACAACAAAAAACCTAACCCAATTCAGGAAAAAAAAAAAAAAAAA